TTAATGATGAATTTAGATAACTACCATCCAGGGGACAGGTATTCCAGCTAGTGAAATATATAGTTTTACCTCCAACTTCCTAAGAGAAAGTAGTTAGTTAGGTGAGACTCTTACTCCCCACACACAAACATAAAAAAAAAGAGTAGTGATAATTAAATATGCAACATGCTGTAAATAGCTACATTTTACAGAATTTTCATTCACATATATAATGTGATTCATAATTCTAGCAATACTGTGCATGATGATATGCAAAGAAAAAGTGTTTACGACAAAGACAACATTTAGAGAAGAACTGAAAAAGCACAAAGTAGGACGTCCACTTCTTATACATTCTACTACGTTTCCAGTCTGAAGAAATAGTTTCACTAATCTGATTACAATTAATATTCGTAAGGGAGATCTGTCTGCAGTAGCTGTTGCATATCTATTACGTTCATTTGCGATGCACAATAAAATTAGCTCATTGCTATATTACTGTCTACAGTTGTAAACTTTGACATTCTTGACGCATGTCCTTCCGTTTTGACCTCCCGGTGGTTCAGGGATAAGTCTGAAGGATTATAACGCTAAAAACTCGGTTTAGATACCCGTGGTGGGCACAGCGCAGATAGCCCATTGTTTAGCTTCGCGCTTGGCAACAAACAAATAAACCTTCCGCTTTTGGTGTCGAGGAAGTGTAAGCATTTAGCCTTTCTATATCTGAACAACCCTCTGGTGGCCAGATGGTGCATCACAGTGTCGCTATTATAGGCAAAAACATTTTTTTCCTTTGCATATGATCCTCTACGTATTCCCAAGTTTTCAAGATGCTCCGACAATTTTGTTATAAATCACCCTGCATAATGACTGAAACCCTTATTAGGAAAAGTTCTAACATCAGGTTAGAACATATTCTGCTTCAATAATAGCCTGACTTGTTCGTAGTATAGACTACAGAAAAAAGCTACATATACGATCTACAATTGGTTTATTGACGTCAGAAAATAATTATTGTAGCAACTCAGAAGTTGAGTTGCACTGAGATCTTGCGAGTGAAATAGCTAAGGAAGACGATTATAGTCACAGTCATGCTCTTCAAACTCATTTTGGAACTTTTTTGTTCGCTGGATTGTTGTATTATCATCTTTGAATAGTCTTTGAGCATCATGCTAAAAATGCAGAACTGTAGATTGAACAACATTCAGTTAAAATCTGAATGTAACAAGCCTTTTTAATTGAATCAAATAACCTAACTTTTGCAAAGAAGATATTCTGTAGTGTATTACACCACGTCCAGATATCAGTACGATCAGCTTCAAGCATCTCCTGCGTTTTTTCCTGTATTTATCTATATGATTAGCATAGATAACTGTGAAGCGCGAGTCGTCATAACACGACCACACACTTTTAGTTATTCATTGTTATCATTTTATGTTGTTAACACAATTAAAGTTATTTTTTTCTCTTTTCATTGGTCGTAGAAACATCTGTTAGACAAGCACTCTCTATAATATTCATTTGTGAATCAGAGAGTTCCTTGTTCTTACCCATTATGTTGTAGGTTAACCATGATAAATCTAGATTTCATAACTTATAAGGCTGAAATATCGCATGATTAGTCTATATTGTTTATGTAAATGAATGGGGTATTTACGTATGTGAGGATCCGAATAATGAGGTCAGTCATTGTAGTTAATATAATGCTTGTAAATCACAGACGGGTCTAAAGTAAAATATATAAAATAAGTCAAACTTTCACTGTAAAGAATTTGTTTAGTTAGAATAGTAACAAAAAATATTAGTAACTAATTATGCAGTGAATTTTTATAAGCCTCGCCATCTAACCTACTTATTACTAGAGTAAACCATCGATTTAAAGATTATTTTATTGTTATATTAATATTCGAGCAAAATGACTTAGAAATCCCTTATTATACATCGCGATAAGTCCAAGTTTCTTTACATTATACATACATTTTTTCTAACTAATGAAAAATGCAAGAAAAACAAATATACATAGACTAAGTAACAGTATATTATGAAGAGTTAAGTGTTCACTGCATTTCATCTATAGCCTTTGGTGTGTTTTCACCAAGTTAAATCTGATAGAATAAACACATTTATGGCCATTAGAATCTGACATAATAGATACATGTAAGGAACATTGGAATTGAAATATGAGCATTTCGTTGTCATTGAATCTTACTGATTAAGAATATTTTTATACGTCAGATCTGACTGTTATTTACCTCAGACATATTTTATCTCATTCTAGTATACTACGCTGACATATATTATACGTTTCATGGATTTAGAATGCTTAATTGAGTCAATAAATACATGTATTTTGAACACCTTTAATGTAAGTCGCTCTAAAGCATACATTATCAAGTTATACATGGAACTAGTATTCTTTGCGATGTGATAGCCCTTTCAGTTTTAGCCACGCTTGATATGCTAAGGGCTCATTTTTACATCTCTGTATATTGTTATGTTTCAGTTTTATGAACAGAATCAAGAATACTGAAACGGTAAATAGTTTTGTAGCAACTATTCACTCTTACAAAATTACAGCTGAAACGGTAAATAGTTTTGTAGCAACTATTCACTCTTACAAAATTACAGCTGAAACGGTAAATAGTTTTGTAGCAACTATTCACTCTTACAAAATTACAGCTGTCAGCAGAATTGAAGGTTTTCGTGACAAGAATTAATAGATTTACCAATAATGTAATTACAGTATAAGATTAACTGAATCTACAATACAATCAGCGTGGGTATTTCTAAAGCATTTGCAAATGTCTGTAAAAATGGACCAAGTATAAATTTGACGCTTACCTTATAGCTTCTTAAATCTTATATTAAAGACCATTTAATACAATGTGGACTTGCATAAAGAATGAAAAGCTTAGCACTTTGACTAAACATAATCGAAATCAATTAATTTAAACTAACACAAGTGGGACAAAACAAACATTCTTACTGCATGTTAAAACTGGAAATGGCCGAGTGGTAACGAGCATCTTATACGAATTCGTAGATAAGAGAGCAGAGAAAGAGTAAAACAATTAGCTCTATCATGCGATAAATTGAAAACACTGACCCTTGTAAGTAAATGTCAATCTACGCCCCTAATGAGATAAAAAAAAAGTTTACGCAGACCTCCAAATAAAGATGTATAACACTGAACAGAATTTATTGTTTCATACTTAAGTTCTGGAATAACATATAGTCGGAGTAAATTTCTATATGTCTAAAATAATCTAACATTAGTATAAAAAAAGACCGCTCAGGGCAGATGTCCGTATTTGTTTTCAGGAAAGGAAGTAATTAAAAATTAGTGGTAATTTCAAAAGTTCCGACGCTTTCCTGGGAAACTCGCAACTTATGATACTATGAAATTCATATTTCGGTTATTTTAGAAATATGTGTCTCATAAATTTAGAAATTGCTCCTTAGAAACCAAAAAGGTGATTGAAAATCTAAGCTTAATTTATTATAAAATTTACTTAATATAATCCTGCAGTACTACTTTAGGAAATATACAAAAATACTTCTGAAAAAACATAAAAAATATAAATTGCAGTGTATCAACTCCTGAGCCACAAAAATAAAGTTTTGTCAAAGACAAGAATTTCAGATATTATACTACGATGTAATAAATAAATCGAATAACATTGGAAAGGTACAAAACAAATAAAATAAACATAGATTCAACTTTTTAGCTGTTCAACGCAGAGTAATGATGATAACTATTAACATTTTTCGCTTTACACTATTTATATATTCAGATATATTTCCAAAATATTATGCCTAGAATACACTAATCGTATATCCGGAAATGTTTCTAAAACGTTAGTTTACAATGCACTAAGAATATTTTTCTAGATATGTCCTAAATGTTATGTCTACAATGCATTAAGCGTATTTTCGGAAATATTTCCAAAAAGTTTATGTCTAGAATACATGAATAATATATCTAGATATATTTACAAAATGGTTTTCCATGGGTATTCATATATTGTATTTCATCAAGCGATTAGAAAATAGAATATTTAATAATATGAACTTTATCTACAAAATAGAGTTTAAATGAGTATACGTGTTTTTAGACAAGGTAAAGAAAAAAGATACAGATAATTCATTAGGCCAGTAGAGGCCTACATTTAGATTTGGCTCTTCTTTCAGGCCTTATTAAATTCCATGCACATTATCATTCATCACTCACAGTGATCTGCAAATTTAAACGCACTCAAAGGTCAGGGATATTACCACCTCACATTCAGATCCTGAGAAAATTGTGTCAGCTGTTCCAATAAAGCAAAAGCCAAGAAGTTAAGTAAAATGAGTTTCATAGTCAGAAGAGAATTACATGAAAATTAAACAAAAATAGAAGTAAGAAATGTAGTTAAACTCATGTAGCGAAACTTATTGCCCCTCAGTAATTCAACGGTAAATCTGCAGTTTTACGACGCTAAAATTCGGAGTTCGATACTCGTGGTGGACAAAGCCAAAAAAGTATGTCACTAAAAAGAACGAAGTATATACTAAATAAGTCTGTAGTCTTTAATAGTTTCAACTTATATATTAAATAACAGGAATCTTCACCAAATACAAAGTTTTATTGAAATATTTTAGAGTGAAGTAAAACATATCAGTATAGAAGCATACTGAAATGTGTTATTAACTTCTCACAGGAATACAGATTTGTACCTTCTCGAAAGAAAAAGGGGATCTAATAAAATAATATCGTATGTTTTAAAACAGTTATATTGTTATTATTATGAATATTAGAAAAAAACGCATTATGTATTGGATTTAAAAAATATACTTTAAGAAATCACAAGGTTGCGAAAGCTCTCAAAGTACTTGGACTTCTTGCTAGAATTTCGAATACAGATTATTCACTTTTTTACCATTTTCTTGATGATTTGTGCATACCCCTAGCGGAAAGTCGACTAGTCTTCTCCGTGGAAAGTCCTTCGGAGGATGGCACAGAGCTTTCTCATTCTACAGTCTACTCTTTCCACGTAATAGCTTTACGTTAGGTACTAAACGTCGTAACGACACTTGGAAGCGTTCATTGTTTTATAGTTATCTGCAACTAGTTGCATTTCACTGCTACTTTCAGTTTAATAGTTCCACCGATGTTCGTATTTCAATGAATCTCTAAAGTTCTGATAGTTATATATTCGACTTCTATACAGGGTCATTTTGGTAAGTACATGTCAATCAGTATAGTCGAAAAGACTGTGCATCGAACAATATATCTGAAGAATTGTTGAAATTAACGCATAAATTTGTTTAATCAAAGCAAGTAATTGCTTACATATACAAACATTTCCAGGTCTTTGGACGTATAGTATCAGTCAACCGAGCAACAAAAACTGCTTGGAGAAGCAAATTGTTTATGTGTTAATAATCACACACGTCTACTGTGTGCTCTAAACGTTAGTATATTAAATTAAGCAAGTTCGGATCTATTTCTGATTTTAGGAGAATACTGTACCCATCGCTCCCAAAATAAAATTGGGTTAATAGTGTCAAATAAAGTACAAGTTCAGACAGGATTCTCACACAGCACCAGCGAGACCGTGTCTGTAATGGGCTAATGCCTTATGAATAAACTGGTAAGTATTTGTAAGTTTGTTACTTTATGTGTTAGTTAAGATAGTTTGTATTTTACTATTTACGCACGAGCAATAATAATTCAACAATTACAGAAATGCATGATATCATAGAAACGCATACCTTGAAATGTCAATCACTTTTCCTTCAACTCGACATACGCATACCTTGAAATGTCAATCATCATTACTTCAACTCGACATGTGCAATTATTCACGCTCGCTAACTTATAGCAAGAGGAAGTTTTATCATTATACTGATGGAAAGAAATTCATGCGTATACACTGAGAAATACGTAAAGTATTTGTCAGCGAATGCATATCACTCAGAAAGCAGAATTCATGACTTTATGTAAAATAATTTAAAATGCTTGTATCTGTGTAATAAATTACAAAATAACTTGACTATTTCATTATTTATTAATATCTTTACAAATTGTTTAGGTTTTTACCCTGAAATCAAGGTTAAAAACAGCCGACATAAAACATGAACAACGACTTTGAGTTATATCTTTAGATATACAAACACAAAGGTAGCACAGTTTGGTATTATGTGAAACACTTTTACACGGCTTTATATATATATATCATTTAAGATTAAATATTACTTGCCTTATTGTGATGGTTAATCACACTTGCTATCAGCAACATTTACATAGATATTTTGATGTTTTTAGCATAGAAATATGAGCGAATTGATTTAAAAACAACAGAATTTCAACCAATAAGTTAGAAGGACGCAAAATCTACCTAATGTATACTTTATAGCAGTTAGTTAAAATTAATTATAAAAAAATCGTTCACCATGTGATTATCCAAACAATTCAACATTGTTTTAAAAGTTTTGCAATTATGCCAAAAATATTGCGCTTCGGAGATTCAATGCACCGATTACATCCAGCTGATGATAAAGTAACTTGACTGTTTTTAATTGTCTGCCGCCATTAGAGTGAATGTAGATTGAAAGTTAATTTTTGTGATTACGTTCGTTTAATTTTTTATATAGAATTAGTAAGGGTATAAGTTTTATACAAACACTGATCCGTATAATTTTCAACAAGCATTCTGTGTCTTGTTCATTTATTACGTTTCGTTTGAATTTTTTATATAGAATTGGTAAAGGTATAAGTTTTGTACAAACACTGATCCGTATCATTTTCAATAAGCATTCTGTGGCTTCTTCATTCATTAATATTACGAAATATAAATTTAGTATCCTTATAAACACGAAAAGCCCTAAAAGTTTAATTCACTTTTAATGCTTTTAGTCTTTATTTTATTTTCATTAATTTATTTTCTTGACTAATGCTGGTAAATAGATATTTAGTTTTTGAAACTAGTCAGTAGACGTTGTCAATTAAATTGTGAATGTCTGCCACAAAAATATGAGCATTCCGATATTGCATCGCATGCCCATATTTATATAAGTTTTATGGTGAGCTAGAAATGAAACGTTGCACACATATACATGAAAAATTAGGGTATTAGGCCAAACCGTTTGGTATGTATAGACCTAATATAGTCAGTGATGACAAAGTCATTCTATTTATATTTCATGGAAATTCTAAATAATTAAGACTAACTTACGAAAGAACCCTGTATCTATGTGGTTGTTCATAAATGAAGTGAAATATATGTCAAATCATCTAGTTTAACGTTCTTAAGTGTTTGGCAAATGTTTTAAGTGTTTATATTTATGTTATTTCCTCGGTTGTATTAAAACAACTGATACTGCGTAAAATTAGAGGAACTTTATTCGTTATCTAATATTATATGAAAAAATAATAATATAACTCAATAAACTATAAGTTACATAAAAGTATGATTCTAATTCGATATTATTTTAATAGTGTCTACATCATCAAGATGTTTTTGATCTATAGTATTCCTATTTTTAATTATCTTGATCAATAATGTTTAGAGGGGTGCTAAAAAACGAAAAAAAAACGAATGGATATGTGTTTCCTACAAGCCAACTATATGAAACTACAAACAAGTATTTAGAATATTAACAACTAGGCAATATTTTTCAAAATAAACCTTATTAAATATAATGCATTTCCCTTATTGTTATGTGAACTTCACCTGCCATTTAGGTTTATTTTAAAGCAATGTCACATTGGGCTAGCTACTATGTCCTAGCGTTGTAAGTTCGTAAACTTACCGCTGTCTCACCGGGGGACCTACCAGTTGGGTAAAATGCTGGTGTAGTTTACGAATAAAGCTGTAAGAACATCAGTTACTTGGAACTGTTGTTCACACAGACTGTCCTTGAAATGACCCAAAACAGTTGCAAATCACAGACTACTTGGACAATACTATATGTAACATAGGGTTTAACTATCCATCCGAACATCTCAACTGCGTTCATTAGAGAACTCGAATACTGAATCTGGCATTTTCATTTTGAATTCATTTTAATAACATAATTTGACAGTCACAGTTCACCGAATCCCTAGTGCATGGGAAATAAAATTGCGTTTCTTCTTGAACATTCCTCATCAAAATAAAATAAAAACAACAGAACTGTGGTTTTAGATAATACATCACAACAGAAGTAATTCATTGAAGCTTCATCCAAATACGGTTTATATTTCCTCTAAAGAAACGGAAGAAATGTTTTACAGGTGTTCACTGTAACACAGTTTGTGTCAGGACAGGTCGATTGGTTGGTTGTTTTGCGTTTTTTGGCGCAAAGCAACTAGACTATTTGCGCCAAACAACCAGTAAAAAAACAGTGATAGTAAAATTGTTGTAAAATGTAAAAATAAATTGAGTTAAAACTATGTCCAAAATTCAGATAAAATATTTAAATATAATTAAAAAGGCCAACTGTTCTTAAAAAAATAAAAATACAATCAAGTTGGACAGTTTCGCCATCGCCAATGACACCATCCAACGTCAGGTGTAAACACGTAGAAAAGATATGTTTAAAATAGTGCCACCGCAGATGGTCGTAACGACAGCACGATAGTAAAATATGGGCTATTGTAACTTGAGTATCACAAAGGCTATACAATGGTGGGTCAATACCAGATAAAACAAAACGATGAGTTAAAAGACTGTGACCAATGCGTAGCCTTACCAGGACAACTTCCTCCTTGCGATCCTTACCGAAGTAAGACGGCCAAAGAGCAACAGAAGGTTTGATCTGGAAAAGTTTGTCATGACGTTGCTCATCCCAATACGTCTAGAATACAGAACCGTAGTCCATGTATGGGACAGGTACGGCCACAGCCCTGATGGACTCCAAGCTCCTGTCGAAAAGAACGGGAAAGAGTCGAACCACACGGACTTGGAATCGACTGTCCAGTAAAAAGTACTGAATAAAAATGTGTAAATGGCCATGCAACCCATATGAATGGAGGTCCTGCAAAATAACATACCTCCACGTAGTGTTGTAAGCCCCCTCAAGGCCAAAAAACATGGAAACAAGATGTTCCTTCTTGAGGAAGGCTTCCCTGATTAAGGTTTCATGTCAAATCAGGTGGTCTATGGTGGAGCACTGCCGATGGAACCCACACTGAGTGGGCAAGAGGAGGTTGTTCGATTTGAGGAACCAAACAAGACGAGTATTAACCATCCTCTCTAATACCTTACAGAGACAGCTAGTCAAAGCAATTGGACGATAATTAGAAGGAATCTTGGGATCCTTCCAAGGTTTAGAGAAAGGAAGGACAATGGCCTGATGTCAAGCATCAGGAAAACATTCTTCTGCCAGATCCAGTTAAAAACAACCAGAAGAATGGCAAGAGAGGCAGGAGAGAGATGGTGCAGCATCTGATAGTGAACTTCATAAGGTCCGACCAATGTACTGCCAGATTGCTGAATAGCAATTTTGAATTCCACCAGTGTAAATGGGCGATTATAGTCGTAGAGACGATCGGCCCGAAAGGAAAGAGGCAATCGCTCTGTCTGAGACTTGATAGCCAAGAAAGTGGGGTAAGAAACAAAAGTGCCTGATGCCCAAGAAAAGCACTCACCGAGAGTATCAGTGATTCTATGTACACGAGCAACTTCCTGACCATTGGAAAGATGATGGGAGTCGTACCACCCACTGACCTTCCGAATCTTGTCCCATATGACTTTGGAACTGGTGGTAGAAGATATGCTAGTTGTAAAATTAATCTAAGATTTCTTTTGGCTTTGACATCTGACCTGCCGAACATGGGCATGGGCCCACTAGAAAGCAATGCAGTTCAAAAGAGTGAGATACCTGCAAAAGGTATCCCAGGCCAATTTTTGAGCCTTCCGTGCCTCCTGGCAGACAGGACTCCACTATGGACGAGGAAAAAGTGTCGATGTCTTAAGAATAGAATGAGCAGCTGCCTAGACTATACAGTCATTCACTGCTACCAATGCAGTCGTCGACTGATGGCAGACAGACGATGGCAGGATCAAGTTCTGAGAGAATGGTGAAAGAGGGCCAGTTAGCTTGGTCCAACTTCCAACATGACACTCGGGTCGGGTGGCATCAAGATGATAGGAAAATGATCAGTGACCCATGGATCACTGTCAACCCTCCAGGAAAAGCAGGAGAAAAGTGAAGGGAAACAGATCGACAGATCAATGGCAGTAAACGACTGACTAGGTGCATGAAAATAAGTATAATAACCAGTACTGAAGAGACAAAGGTCGTGAACCGAGAGCATGCGCTCTACAGAACGATCACTCCCATCAATCTCAGAGGGGAATGTGTCCATCAAAGCCTCCCAGGAGTAAAAAGGGAGATGGCAACTGTTCAGTGAGAGCATTAAGGTCTGATTGATTATAACTCTTTCCAGGAGACAGGTAAAGAGATCAAACAGTGATGGTACGACCCAAGGAAATATGGATGGCTACAGCATCCAAGGGTGTATCAAGCAACACAGACAAAGCGGGCATGTGCTAGTCGACTAGCAGTGCCAACCCTCCATGTACTCGTTCATCACACAATTTGTCATTCTGGTATAAAGAAAACTGCTAAAAGGTGAATGCATCAGCATGTTTCAGGAATTTTTCCT